AGGAACCCCTATTGCCTTCCTTCTGCCCCTGTCTTCCCTTTCTTCCCCATACCCCACAACCTCTTTCAAGTCTCTTGTCTTAGAACTATGTGGAAGGAGGATGAGAGATGAAGTAGGGATGGTAACTCTTGCCTGATCCCGCTGAGTAGGCAGCATGAGCGTTGGCATGGGAGATGTCCAAGCACACTTGACGTTTTGGGGAGGGATACCAGCGTCTTGTGCAGGAGGGCTGTGGGATGTGCATGTTGCACTGAGTTACCAGGGAAACTCTACCCTGCATATTATTTGAGCTTCTGAAGGCGTGGCCTTCCTGAAGAGCGGAAAACCAGGGTTTGTGCTGCTTGTAGCAGCTAAGGAAATCGTGCTGCTCCTTGCTAGGAGAAGTTTTTATTTGGGCTGCGTTAAGCAGGACACTGGGGAGAGGAGTGTGTGTTCTGGAGATCAAAGCTGTCCCCTTTCCCTTCTGAGGGGGACTTGAACTGTGGCCTAAATTCAGTGAGACAGCAATTGGTCCAGCACAGAGCAGCCCACTGCTGCATGCTGGCTGAGGGCGAATGTGTGTGTGGTGGGGAGGGAGTTCTCCCCGAGAAGCGTTCATGTCTCTAAAGTACTTGGGGATCTGAAGGGTGAATGGTGCTAGAGAAATGTAAAATTTTCTTGTTCTCCACTTGATATGTGGCCTATGCAAAATTTTTGTTACTGTTGGGGTGGATGGACTCTTTCCAAGGTGAGAGTAGGCATCCCAGTATCTGAGACAGAAGCCAGGAAGCATCCTCTTGAGGGGCGCACGTTCCTTGCCCAGGTTGGGCAGCAGGGTACAGTACAGGTAAAGTGGTAGGGAGAGGGAACATCTTCCTTCCTCTTTCCATAGATTTTTTGGGACTCCAGGGTTTGGGGGGAAGTGGGGTTTTGGGTGGGAGAGGGATTGTTCAGTTGCAAATTGTTCTTACAGTGAGAAAGTGGAGGGGTATTTGGGTTTCTCACTATCAAGTAGCAGAGGAAGGGTATGAGAAAGGGAGAGCAGCTTCTGCATGAAGCAGTATTGATGGGTTTTGGAGAGAATCATATCCAGGCTGCATTGCCGGTTTGGACAGGGAAGACCCCCAGTTTTGGACCCCCTTTGACTCCCACTGGGGTGTTTGAGGAGAGTCTGTAAGAACTTGGGATTTTGACTTTTGAGCAGGGTGGACGTTTACAAGCAGGTGAGCTCACAGCCCGGCGAATGTTTTGTTGACACAGAGGCAATCAGGGGCTGAGACAGGGGAGATACGTCAGGAAATCTGGGTGATGTTAGTGGGTCTCGCTGGCCTCTGTGTAGGCTGTTACAATGCTGGTGTGTATCTGGACGCCCTTGCTACCTGCCCTCTTTCCTTTTCCCATTATATCCTGCAGTGATCCTCTGCCTTCCCTTAGCCTCTCAGGGGAGGGCTTGCCCATGCTCTTTCTTATCTTGTTGTATGTGCAGACTCAGTGCAGGCTGATGTCACCTGCCATTTGTCAGGAAGGAGAGGCTCCTTTTCCATCCATCCCTTCCCTCTCTCCTTCCCCCTCTTTTCTCCTGTCCCCGACACCCTCTCTTTCTCTCACTAACATGTTCTTATCTGCCTCTCCGTCTGCAGCAGATGTGGATGGCAGTCTCCCCTGGATCCCCACTGTGCCCCCCAGCGAAGTGACAGTGACAGACATCACAGCAAACTCCATTACCGTCACCTTCAGAGAAGCACAAGTGGCTGAGGGCTTCTTCCGAGACCGGAGTGCACAGTTCTGAATCTTCATTTTTCAGTGCTCCTAAAATCCAGTGCTTTTAGGGTGGGGCTAGGGAAGGGTTATTATATCCTTTAAGAAAAAAAATCCAAAACGTCTCCTCTTAAAATGTTTACAGAGACCTTCAATTTTTTTCTTTTCTCTTCTCTCCCATTTCAGATACGCAAAAACAAAGGGCAGTGTAGGGAGGGGGGGTGTTTGTCATTGCTTTGTCCATCTGAAAAACTGACAGCCCTTTCCCTGGCGAGGACTCCCTTCCTAGATGTGAAAACAGCAAGCTGAACAATTTGCCTTTCATCCTGTTAAGTGGTGGCAGCTGCATTTGTGGGGAGAGGGCATGTGGAGGTGGAAGAGAGTTGGATCTGTAGCCTGCCGCCTTGTTCTGCAATTTATATCCCTTGGATAAAGATACTTCTCTGTGCATTGCTCTTCCCACCTTCTTCCTCCCTCTCTTCCTGCAGCAGTGAGAGGCGATGGATCCTACCTGTATAGGTAACTCCAGTCTGTTAAGGCTTTCTCCCCAGTGCTGTTTTGCCTGTAGCCTGCTGTTAGGACTTCAGAACCATATTTGCCTAACTGTGGTAAGTAAGTCTTTGCAGCACAGGTCCACGTAGAGTGCAGAGGTTTCACCCTTTGATTATTGATCATGCAGGGGGAGACCAAAATGTATCTCTGAAGTCTAGATTGGCTGCACAGATTGAATTTACCCTCATTAAAAGCTCAGAAATGCAGCACAGTTGAGACTATACCTTCCATATATGCTAAACGGGATTTCCAGCCTTGTCTGTGCTATGTGAGAAATGCATTATGGAAAGTGGGATGTTCTTACCCTTTGCCAAATTCAGTATTAATAACAAATGCTGTCCTGAATCCATGGTAATAGGTTGGTTGAAAACTGACTCCTCTTCCCTGGGAGGAGGGGCTCATAGAAGGACTGAAGCATTGCCTGCCTCTGCAAAGATATCCAAGATACTGGCACAGGCCCAGGACAGAGGAATTGGATAGAACTGAGCTAGAAATGGACCTTGATTAGCAGCGAATTCTGTTCTTGGATCACATTGAGAGGCCCAAGGTAAACAGCATGTGGGGAGGGCATGTATTAGACTAGAGGAAGGGAAAAAAATTCTTAATTCCTACTAATGAGAACTCTTGGATTGTACCATCTGAGTAATATTCTTCCATGACTCCAGTCTCATCACAGTATCTGTGATCCTGGACTACTTTACCGATGGGAACTTCCCCTTGGAAGGCTTACAAATCTTTGCCAAGGAAAGTGGTCTGCATTTCAATAGACCTTGCCTGATCTTGCACTTACAAATGCCTTGTGCTGGACTGCCTGTGACACTTGGAGGTTTCTGAAGAATTACTGTATTTTGAGTTGGTAGTTTAGCATCTATTCTTGCACATGTGTATCCTCTTCCCTTTTTTTAATCAAATCTTATTGAAATAACTTAAATTTTTAAATAGAGCTCTCTTCCTATGGAAAGCAAGAAAGGTAAGCTAGATCTTAAGGTAGGACCTGCAGGACAGAGTGCTGCAGGGCAACGTTGGCTACTGTCCTAATTATCTTCTTTAAGATCTTTGTTTCTTCTTCCTGCTCCACCTCCAGCATCTTTTATCTGCTGTATTTATGCTATATGAAGCTATGACCCTGCTGAGCCCGAAGGTAAAGACACCTGTGTAAATCCTTAATGTGAGCTCTGCAGCAGTTCCTCTGAAGGGCTTGGCTCCTGGCCTGCAGAATTTGGGAGCTCTGGGGCTTCTGGTCCTCCAAACATATGCTTTTTGCAAAATGCTAGAACAGCCTCTGAGCCTTTTATTAAGAACAGGTTTTACCTTAAGTAGGATACGCAGCTCAGTGTAGACTTAAGATTTCCCCTCCTGTCTCAAAGCTCTTTGAAAAAGACTATCTTCACTGACAGCAGCTTCAGGACCACTGGGTAGATTCTGAATTTCAGGGTAAACGCTTTGTCTCCCAAAGTACATTCGGAGGAGGTGATATGGGAGTCTTACCACAGAGAAATCTGAGAGGGTGAAAAGTGAAGCGCATTGTGTGTCCTTTTTTTGTTGTTTTTTGTTTTAAATTTAATGTGGTAGGAGGAAGAGTGAATGGGAAAGAATCTTAGAATAGCTAGCGAGGATAAATTGATGAAGTAAGCATATAAGCCCAGGATGTTTGTTGAATGTGGGTGTCTGGAGCTAGGTATCTGAATCTGGAATTGCATTATCTAAGTGGGATCACCCTCTTCTACAGAGAGTGGGGTCACACAGTGCCCCACCACCTCTCCCTGACACACCTGCAAAACATGCTGAATATCTGCATCTCCCTTTTGTTTGGTGTGACCAGTAGAAATAAGCATGTTTGCTCATCAGGACGACAACAGTTTGTGTGTTTATAGTTGCAGAAGCATAATATTTTAGCTTAGTTTTGAGAAGTCTCGAACTCTGCTCCTCCTGCTAATTCTTGATGGCATTTACAGGGTCTGCTTTCTTTATTCTAATACAGCTACCCTTTGTTCTGTCTTCAGCTCAGTGTACAAATACAGCAAAAAAAAAAAAAACCCTTCCTATTTACTAATATTCCTAGCTTTGACTGAAGTCAGAAGCAATACCAGTCCTGTGGCTGGAAAGAAGAACTTGTCCTAGTAACTGGATTTCCATCCTGTGCTTTTTCTCTCCGCACACCAGCTGAGACTTCTCAATGTTTTGTTTTGGCACTTCTCTTTAAACATCTTTTCTTTCTCTTTCAGTGGAGTTTTCAAAAACCTGTGGTGCTCTTAAAAGAGGATCCACTCACAGCTTCATATCTTAATCACTTTTTGGATCAGGCAACCTTTGTTCTTTTGGTGACTAATAAATCATCTCCTGACATGAAGTGTTAAAGAGTACCTTGGTACCATGCTGCTTTCTTTGTGCACAGGTCAGTGAGGAGTTAACCTTTATCAGTTGAGAGGCAGCAAGTTGCATGTGGGTAGGTTGGGTTTTTGTGAGGAGGAGTTTGTGGTAGGAAACTAAGCAGTTACTTTTTCTTTCTTTTTTTTTTTTTTACATTCATGAACAGCAACTCTTGCCTATCTTAAAGATCTTTTGAAAAGATTTTTCTCATGGTCTTTTAAAAATGCAGCTCTCTTCCATGCTGGCTGCTGACATCTCATTGTAGACTCCCTTGGTGGAGCTGGTCTTCAGGGACTTTAAAATCAGCTTTACTCCACTTCTACAAGTATAGAGATGCATGGGGTGTTTTTGCTTTCGGGGGCAGGAGAGATTGTCTGAGTTTAATTGTCCATTCTTCCCCAATCCTATCTTCTCCATCTGCATATTCAACCCAAAAACTGAAAATTGAACTGGACCTCTTTGGCTAACATTGTGAAAATCTGATGCTGTGCTTGGAGCTTCATTAAGCGTTCTGTTTGATTAGAAGAGCCAAGATAGCATCCAGCTGAAGCAGAGTTTAATTCTATTTGAAGCGCAAGCCAAGAATAGAATCAGGCTAACTCTCCCATACCTCATTTGGCTTCATGGGCTGTATACAAGAAAAACAAACTTCAGCGAGTGGAAATTACTGAACTGTACACAAAAAACCAACTTCTTGAACTGTTCTGACAGTCATTCTTCAGAACTGCTTCCATGTGAGAATTTACCAACCATGTTTTGGGGGACAGAAGCTTTTACTTCAAACACCTATCAGTAAATTCACTGTATGTAGTATGATGGACCGAGGGCCTCATCAGATCAGAAAACCTTTGTTGTTAACACTGTGTTAAAATTTGGAAAGCACAGTCTCTTTTCCTAGCTGGTTATAAACTAGGTGTTATTGCTCTGATATTTGTAAGTGATGCCTTGGAACAGCAAGTTTTAACACGTAAATAGTGGCATTAAGCAGCTTCGTAGCTCCTGCATGCTCCTTATTGTCTTGCGTTTGCTTGGGGGCCCTTCTGCTCATGAAGTCAGCCCAAGGTGTTTTTTCAAGCACAGCCAGGATATTATTGTGAGAACACCCAAATGCAGTTCCGTTTGCCAAAATAAACCCGAATTTGTTAGTGAATTGACCCTTGCTTACATCAGAGCCTCAGACAGAAAGAACCCTATTGAGATTTTTAGGGTTTTTTTTCCCCAGTGTTGTGAAACTGTCCAGAATTGTTCTTCTGGTGTTTTGTGACTGAATGTGTAAAAGTGTTTGTTCACCTCACGGGGGGTCCTTGGCCCCAGTACTGTTTCCTGCTCTATGCCAGCTAGTGCTGTTTAGTTTTGCTGGAATAGAGAGGAGAAGCCTTGCATACCTCAAAATAGGCAGGGTGGCCCCCCCAGCCCCAGCCACAACAGAGGCCAGGATGGGGAAGACAGCACTGAGGGCTGTTAGCCACATCCAGGTATTTGAGCTAAAGCTAAATCTACCACCTCTCCACCCCTTCCTCTCCTCTCAAGCTTTGTCTGTGCTTTCTGAAGCAGGGAAAGTGTACAAACCTCCTTTTCTAAAACTAAGTGATATCTGTCTCTCTTCTGTTCCTCCCCTGCTTACCTGTCCTGCAGCCTGAGAACAAGAGGGCAGTCAGTGAAACTTTGTAGGAAAACAGTAAGGGCCAGCTCTGCTTGTCTGGGGGAAGGCAGGGAAGTAGCTGGCACTCCAGGCCTGAGAGTTGCTCCTGCTAGGCTATTGAGGACAGGCCTTTGGGTTACCTGTTAGGAAGAAGGCATGTTATAACTGCGAGTAACTTGTAGTGAAACTCAAGGCCCATCTGGGACCTTAGAGGCAAAAAAATACCATAATTAAAAAGAAATGCTGAGATGATAAACCTGAAACTTTTTTTTTTTATGTTTGTTGAGGCTGGTGTTAACGACCATCCATCAAGGCCCAGTTCAGTTGCTAGCAATCACATTAAAAGCAGCCTATTCCTTACAGGTTGTGAGTGCTGTTCTCTTGGCTGTGAATTTGCCTTAGTCTCCAAGAAGATGAGGAAAATTAAACAACAGGGGTGGGGAAGAGTCAATATAAGGAGAGGAGACAAGTGGGGAATAGAATTGGGCCATGTTTAGCCCTTATTCAAATGCAGGCTCTTCTCACAAACCTGTGACCCCTGGTATCAGTGATGGTGTATCAGTGCCGCAGAGTGGTCAATGAACAGATGTCCCTCTGAGTTCTGAGGGGGCCATGTGGGGAGGAGGCGCTCATATAGCTGTCTGACAGTGGGGCTGCAAGGGAGGTATATATGTGTAAACAGCTTATATAGGTTAACTTTTGCACAGAAATGTATAACATTGGCAAATACAGGTAAAGGGATGTCTCTTTCACGTTTCTTGTCCTCAAAACAGTTGTCCCCAAGGACATGGCAAATTTGTTTTGAGACAATAGCTTATGATCAAAAGACTATGTCCTCTGCCAACTGAGCTTGACTGCCAGGGAGCTGAATTTACACTCCTTGCAGAGAAAGCGTGAACATTCTGGGTGTCGAACCTCCTGGATTGCACCCAAGAAGTTGGTTAAGATGGAAATGCCTGTGAAACCATCCTACAGGTAAGCCCTTGTGAAAAAGCAACACCAGGACAATCTAAGGGTAGCAGTTGTGGGACCAAGAGTCAGAGGGAGAGAGAAGCAATCACTTAAAATTGAATTTTAATTCTTCCCTGTAACAAGTACTTCCTTGAGGGATGACCCCTTTCTCTCTTCCAGACCGCGCTCCCTTGCACCCTTAATTTCTTAAAGTGCAGCGGCTTAGCAGGGAGGGAATGGGGACTGAGGGTAGGGTGGGGGGCAACTGGAATTTGTAAAGGAGAAGCAGAGCTCAGTGGAAGTTGGTAATGGCTGGTAAAGGGGAGATTGCTACCAAGTTGAGATGAGTAGGAACTTGGTGCTGGTCATCAATGGTGTGTTGCAGATGCCTGGGAATGTCAACTTCATGCTGAAGGGGAGAGCTCATGAGACTGTTCAGAACCTCTGTCCCTCGCTATTGGTGTAGCAGAATTTTGACTGGGAGGGGGATTTGGGAGGAGGAGGAAAGACTTTTTTTTTTTTTTTTGTTACCAGAAAATATAGTGTCAGCACAAAGAAGCTCTTTGCAAATCTGTCAAAATGTTAAGCTGCTTTTTTGGCTTTTACGTCTGAAGTATGTTTTGAAGCACTTTGACAATACAAAGCACTAGGAGTGCTAAATACTCCTTATCGTCTCTAAAAGTGGCATTTGAAAAGCAAAAGGTGTATCTGTTTCAGGCTTCTGGCTGTTCCTTATCCCATTTCCAGAGCTGCCACCAGGCTCTTTGCTTCCCTCCTACGGCTGAAAGGGGAGTTTGCTCCAGCCATGCCAAGTGAAGTAGGGCTCCCTGAGGGAGGAGAGGAGACTTGCAGAATCCCTAATTCACCTTCAGGGTTCGTGCTGTCATTCTCCTTCTTCACGCCCTACCTCCTTCCCCCACCTACTCTGAGGAAAGGGAAAAATGAAGTTCAGTTTTGGTTTTAGTGGTCCTAGTTTGGAACTATGACCAGTTCTTCCAGCTCTGGAGACATCTTTTTAGTTTTATCTCTGACAAATTGCACCTTATTAGCCTGCTTGGGAATTGGAGAAGTTACCTATCTGTTTGCAGAGGGTTGAGGAAAGGAGAGTGAACCAGAGGCTGTCTTCAGTGACTGTTGAATTCTTCCAAAGGCTGTTTTTCCACCTGATCTCCAACAGAATGGTAATGAAATAACTGGGAGAGGGGAAAAAAAAAAATCAGTTGAGGCTTTTATCTTGCATGTCTAAAAAACCTTTTGGGCAGGCTAAGATGAAAGTATTTTTTTCCTCACCTAGCAAGCTCCATAGCTAGAGGAACCCAGTTCTCTTGCTGGGTCTTCAGCACTAGCCTTTTTCCCCCATTTTAGACACATCAGTCTGACTCATCTAATTTGGTATGCTTCCTTTCTTTTGGGGGGAAAAGGTGGGGGGATAGGGTCGGTTGGGAGGGAGGGTCCCCAATTTTTGTTTTTGTCTCTTCAGTTGTTGCTGTTGTTCTGTCAGCACGCTAGAGTATCTGAGTCTTTGCACAAAGAAAGCTTCCTTTTGCACAGAATGAGCTTCTAGCTTTTGTACAGACTAATTGAATGTATTTGGGGAAGGAGGGGGGGAGGGAAATGGGGAGCAAACCAATTCCAAACAAACCAATCAGAGTATAATGCCTTTTCTGAGCAAGCGTGTATTGTAAAGGGAGATTGTAATTGCAAAGGGAGGGCAGGCTCAAGTATAATTTGACACAAAGTGTGGTTTTATTTTTGTACTGATATGGATAAGAGACTGTATAGCATCTATTTATTTAGATGATTTATGTGGTAAATGTTGCAAACAAAATTATTAAAATATTAAATATGAGAACTGACATTTACCTAATGGTCTGTCTGTGTGGTCATTTACCTCCCCTTGCTTTAATTCTACAGATGAATGACTTTCCCCCACATGCATGCACATACAATGCGCTTGGAAAAAGAGTGGAAAGTGTGTGTATGTGAGAGAGAGAGAGAGACTGGTTAAGAAGGTTCAGTGAAGAGTGGAGCCTGCAAAAGGCTCTTTTTGACATTCTCATTACTTTGATTCAAGGAGGTTAGGTTTTTATTAATTTTTAACCAACTGGGTAAGTTGAAGCTGTACAGATATGACCTGGTGCATTTAAAGTCTTTGATGGATTAGAATTTGAAAAGGAGAAGCCCAGATGCAAGGTGACTGTTCCTCTGGTTTCGGGGAGTTCCTGAAGTCTTGCACAAAGCCCCCGTGCCAGGACAGCTCTGCTGGCACTAGGCTGAGGAACGTGCTGGTGTGCCCCACCTTGCCAGTCTCTTGTGTGAATGGAGAAAATCCCAGGTGCTCTGTGTGCACTGGTTGCCAGACTGACAAGGCCAGGGAGCCTTCTCTCCTCCAAGCTAAAGCCCCAGGTGGGCTGGGCTGGAGGGCTTTCAAGGAGCTTCCCAGATGGAGTTTGGCCCTGATTCATTGCAGCTAACTTGGGGCTTTGCCTAAGAGCCCTGATCCTGAGATTACCGTGGAGAGAATCACAAAGTGTATTTGTGTACTCCATTTTGGTTTTTGACTTGCTCCCGTTAACTGAGGTGCCTCAGCAAGTGAATCGGGCTGTCTGAGGCTTGGGGTGTAACGTGGGGATGAACCCTACATCTGAACACAACCTTGACTTCAAATGCAAAAGCACATGAAGCAAAAGCAGGGGGGTGGGCTATGTTTTCTAATTCAGTCATGGCTCAAGCCTGTGTGGTTAGGTCTTGCTTGTGTTATCAAAGGGTACTCTGTGTGCTTGCCCTGAGCCAGGAAGGCTGGATTTGACTGAAGGCATCACAGCAGGGCTTCAGCCAGACGCTTATTTTCTGGCAGCAGCTAGTGAGTCAGGTGAAGTTGTAAGAAACTGCAGTGCAGAGTTACAGGAAAGCCTACTTGAGAGATTGTTTCTTCATACCCTTGCCAATGCTGCAGAGGCTGGCTGGCACTAGAAGCTCTTCAGGCTTGTCCTTTCACGTGCATGTGCTCGTTGGATTAAAGGTTAATCTGGATAGTAAATTTTGTTTAATCGTCTGTTGCTATGCTGCCCCTCTGATCCATGCACTGCTGCCAGGTTCCCTTGCACAGCTCTTCTAATAGGATGCCTGAGAACTTGGGCACTCAGCTGTACCTTAAAACTTGTCCCCGGGGACCTGCTACAGTTGGCCTCACCTGAAAGAGGAAGCTGCTCTTGCTCCTCTCTGAGGAGCGCCGAGTGAAATGTGGTAAATGCAACTCTTACAGTACAGAGTGCTGCCAGGACACTGGCATTCACCTCCTCTCTGTCCAGTGTAGCTTCACACAGCGTTGCTTACCTTCCCTGCTTTTGGTCCTTCTGTTCCAGGGGCTTTGATCCTTAAGCCACTGGTTTTGAAGCAAGTCTGCTAGAAACCTGGGGCATTTGTGTATCTACCCATGATCCAGTGTCAGCCTGGGCAGCTGGACCTGCTTTGGGAACTCAAAGGCAGGGTCTAGGAATATTTTAAGTACTGCTGGTGGTGTAGGCACTGGATGAAGCCCAAAGGCCTTCTCCAGTCTTGACTGAGGCCCCATCGAAAAAGTAGTGGGTTGGAGGGACTGTTCTACTGGCCACTGCTTGGGCCATGCTGAGCCATCCATAACTGCTGCGCAAGCAGATACATTGTCATATTTAAGTGATCTGTCTCTGCCTTTGTGTATTTCAGAGTTGCAGCCAGGAAATATCATTCGACATAAATGACCACAACATCAAGCATTTGCTTAAAAACCCGTACAGAATTTGCTCGAGAGCTGTGTAGCAGAACATACCCCAGCTGCTCAGTGTGTGAGAGAGTATGACCATTTCCTTCTACAGGTCTGCTGCTTTTGACAGCTATTTCCCTCGAGCAACCCGGAGTGGAGTTGGTTGATCAACTCTTGAAGTTTTTCTAAGAGAGATAAGCACTGCTACCCCTACTAGGCCACAAGTCTGCGAAAAATGAACCTGGTGCTGGCTACTGGCTTTGTGCAGGTCGGTTTCTCACAGTTGAGTGTCATATTTTTTAAAAACATGTTTTTTGCACCTACTGCTCTCCCCCTTTGCTCATGCACCACTTGCCAATGTTCCTTATGAGAAAGGTCATTCTTGCTGCTCCCACAAAGCTTATTGCTTCCCTTTGCAGGCTTATCAGTATGAGCAAGAAGTGATCTGGTGTAACCTACACCAGCAGGGTCTTCAGGACAGTGAGATGCCAAGAAAATATTTTGTTCCTGTGGCCACTGTGAACAATAGCTGTTCTGAGAGAGTGATTTTTTTTTGGTTTTTTGTTTTTTTTTTTCAACTGGAAAGTGAATGAAACAAAGTACCCAACAATGCTCTGAACAACAGGATATTGCTTTGAACAACTGAACAACTGCTGCTGTTTTGCTTTGGGAAACTAAAAGTCAGATGAAAAAGCCTGGGGCTGAGCAATACCTGTAAAATAGCTACTCACAACGATTTTACCAGCTATTGTAGCTGGAGTGAGCATCTTGCTGACAGGTGGAAGGAGAAAATAACTTGAAAGAGCATGTGGAGCGCTCTGAAATGTTGCTGCCCCTTCTGGACCATGCATCAGGGATGCTTTGTGCTTCTACTTTAAGGTGAGATGCGCTGCTTGTGACCTGTATGGCTGTTTGGGGATAAGGCAATCAATCACAGTTGCTGCATGTGTGTCAGTGTAGCTGTGTAAGGACTTTTCTCCTGTTTTATTTGGAAATGGGTTTATGATATTAATGGTTGGAAGTTAAACAAATTACTTGACAGTCAGCCACAAGTGTAAAAGCAATTGTTTAAGCAAAGTGAACAGTAACAAACATGCCAGTTGAAACGTGGAGGGTGTTACCGAACACTTAATGTGCAAAGTTGAAATCAGTTAAAAGGTGAAAAGCTAAATGCAGCAGGTGTAATCAGTGTGATCAGCTTGTTCTTTTGAAGCCACTTTGTAGCGCATAAAGGATCAAAAGGGAAAAACATGGTGTTTGGGGAAGTAGGGCAGTCCAGAAGGATTCGTCCCATTCTATGTGAGAGGGTTAAGGGATCTGTCTGGGTTTTTTGTTCTCTGTTGGCCTGTAAATACCTGAAAACAGGCTGAAAGAGGCCCTTTCTTGAAGTGAGTGATGTGACCTAAATGCAGATTTATCGGTGGTGGAGTATAGCATGGTTCAGGCCCTGACCACAGAAACACCTTGTTCTCTGCATTATCTGCGTCTTGGCCAGCCCTGCAACCAGCGTCTGTAAGGCTCTGTCCATTTCCCGTCTCGTCTTCCTCCTTCTGTCAGCATTCAGGAACCTCTCTGTCCCCTCCGCCTCGGATGGGGACAATGCACTGGGACACCTCACCTCTTGAAGTCCCTTTCCTCTGATCAGGCAGCTGGTGGTGCTTGCAACGCTTTGGCTGCCAAGGTGAAAAAGGCCAAATCAGTATGACAAACACTTGTGTGAATGGCAGGCGTTATGCCAGCAGCGATGAAATGGTTTCTTCTCCCGGCTATTCCCTCCTTGATTTTGGGGGAAATCCATCCCTCTGGACCCTGCTGGTGTTGAGAAATTTAGTCATTTCCAAAATACCCCCCTTCTAGATGGAGCTTCTGAGCCAGTGCTGAGGGGGAAGGGAAGTGAAGAAAGGGTTAGCGAAGGCCCAGGGCCGGGAGAGCTCCCGGAGGCCGGGTGAGGAGGGGGAGCAGAAGGGTGCTAGTGCCCTGCTGGTAGCCGGCAAGCTCATGCCGCTTTTTGAGAAAGAGCGGCAAAACGCAAGCTGGCCATTGCCGGAAGTCCCCATCACAGCTCCCTTTCCCTCCAGAGAGGAGTATTTCGAAATGAGTCCCTTCCCCCACTCCGCCCCCCCCCCCCCAAAAAAAAAAAAAAAAAAAAAGCCAAAGTGAAGCCAGGGGACCATGCTGTATTGCTCCGTGCCCGGCAGTATGTCCCTAGAGCAGTCCTGGGGAAGAGCCATGAGCTGCGGGGGCTGTAGCGAGACCGCTGCTGGGCCATGAGCTTCCATTTTGGATTACAGGGAATTATTTTTGATGAAAATTTTCTTTCTTTTTAGCACCTGCAAGAGAGGTGTAAAGTATACAGCAAATTAAATAGGATTTTGCAGTAACACTCAGTGTGGGGAATTCCTTTAAGTGACTTGACTTTTTTTTTTTTGTTAAGGTTTATGTAGCATGCTTGGCCCATTTACCTTGCAGTACCTCGTACTGGCTCAAAAACGAGGGCACATGAAAGTGCCAGCCAAAAAGAAAGAGGAAGGAGGACCCGAGCTTGCCCCTGGGTTTTGCCTGTGGCGCTGGCCAAGGCTGCCCGTTTCCCGCTTAACCCTTCCGGCACCGCCATGTTGGTCAGAGGCGGGTGAGGCACCGGGGCGACACCTCGCCAGGCGCTTATGCCAATGGCAGTGCCCTTGCCCCTTTCACGTGAGGCTGTGCGGTCTCCCGAGCCAACGTTGTTTTAAATAACGGCAAACCGCTGCTGCGG